ACTGTCCTACTTTCACATACATGTGAAGCTATTAAAAATACATGGCTTAAGACAGCTACATCTTAGTCCTCAAATTTTGCACTTAACATTTTAAAGAGATCTTGTGCAGCAGATTTGCCTAATGCAATACTTCATTTGATTTCTTGACTGCTGCTTCCATGAGTGTTGACAGTGAATCCAAGCAAGATAAAGTCTTTGTCAACTTAAATCTTTTCTCCACTTACCCTGATGTTATTTATTGGTACAGTGCTGAGGATTTTATTTTTCTTTACACTGAGGTGCAACCCATACTGATCTTCAACAGTTAAGTATTTTAAGTCCTCTTCCCTTTCAGCAAGCAAGGTTTTGTCAGCTGCATATCTCAGGTTGTTTCTCCAATCTTGATGTCACATTTTTCTTCATATGATCTAGCTTCTTAGATTATTTGCTCAACTTACAGATTGAATAAGTGTGAAGAATACAACCTGGCACACACCTTTCCTAACATTAAACCATTCAGCGTCCCCTTGTTCTATTTGAATAATTGCCTCTTGGTCTATTAACAGGTTCCTCATGAGCACAATTAAGTGTTCTGGAATACTCATACTTCGCAATGCTGTCCATAGCATGTCATGATCCACACAATTGAAAGCCTTTTCATAGTCAATAAAGCACAGGTAAACATCTTTGTAATGTTCTCTCCTTTCAGCCAAGACCCATCTGCTATCAGCACTGATGTTCCTCGTTTCACGTCCTTGTCTGAACCTGACTTGAACCTCTGGCAGGTCCCTGTCAATGTACTGTTGCAACCGTTTTTTAATTATTTTTAACAAAATTTTACTTGCTTGCAATAGTAACAATACTGTCTGACAATTTCTGCATTTCATTGGGTCACCTCTCTTTGGAATGAACAAAAATATGGATCTCTTCCAGTCTGTTGGCCAGGTAGCTGCTGTCTTCCAAATTTCTTGGCATAGATGAGTGAGTACCTCCAGTGCCACATCAGTCTGTTGAAAGATTTCAATTTGTAGTCTATCAGTTCCTGGAGTCTTGTTCTTTTCCAATGCCTTCAGTGCACCTTGGACTTCCTCCTTCAGTATCATTGGCTCTTGATCATATATATGCTACCTTTTGAAATGGTTGAACATTGACCATTTCTTTTTGGTACAGTGACTCTGTGTATTCCTTCCATTGTCTTTCTTCTTTTGATGCTTTCTGCATCATTCAATATTTTGCCCATGTTGTCGTTAAGTGCCGTCAAGTTGGTTCTGATCCATAGTGACCCTGTATAGGACTTCCAAGGAGTAGCTGGTGAGCTTGAACCGCCAACCTTGTGGTTCAAACCAACTTTGCAGTCTAACGCATTAACCCACAGTGCCACACCAGGACTCCATTTTTTGCCCAAAGAATCCTTCGGTATCTCAAATTGAGACTTGAATGTTTTCTTCAGTTCTTTTAGCTTGAGAAATGCTGAACATGTTCTTCTCTTTAGGCTTTCAAACCTTAGGTCTTTACACATTTCATGATAATCCTGGACTGTCTTCTCGAGCCCTTTGAAATTTTCTGTTCAGTTCTTTTCCTTCCTTATTTCTTTATTTACTTTAGCATCTCAACACTGGAAAGCAAGTGTCAGAGTTTCTTCTAACATCTGTTTTGGTCTTTTCCTTCTTTCTCACCTTCTTTACAATCTTTTGCTTTCTTCCTTTATGATGTCCTTGATGTCATCCCACAACTCTTCTGGTCTTCAGTCATTAGTGTTTAATGCGTCAAATCTGATCTTGAGATGATCTCTAAATTCAGGTAGGATGTGTTCCAAGTCAGATTTTGCTCTTATGGACTTGCTTTAATTTTCTTCAACTTCACCCTGAATTTTCAAATGAGCAATTGAATGTCCGTTCCACAGTCTGCCCCTGGTCTTGTTTTGATGATTTGGAGCTTTTCCACTGTCTCTTCCCACAGATTTAGTCAATTTGATTTCTGTGTATTCCGTCTGGTGAGGTCCATGTGTATAGTCATCACTTATGTTGTTTAAAAAAGGTATTTGCAATGAAGAAGTCATGGGTCTTACAAATTTCTCTCATGCGATTTCCAGCATCATTTCTATCACCAATGTCGTATTTTCCACTACTGATCCTTCCCCTTTGTTTTCAATCACTGCTCTTTATCAGTGCATCTTGATTGCATGTTTGATCAATTTCAGACTGAAGAAGTTGGTAGAATTTTTCAGTATCATCATCACTGGCTTTAAAATAATAGCGGTAGTAACTGGTCTTCCTTATAGGTATATGTATATTTTCCTATCACAAACAGCATTATACTTCAAGGTAGATCTTTATATATGTTATTTTTTATCATGAATGCAATGACATTCCTTTTCAATTTGTCATTCCAGGCATAGTAAATTTTCAGATTCAAAATGGCCAATTCAAGTCCATTTCAGCTCACTAATTCCTAGGATTTCGATCTTTATGCTTCCATTTCATTTTTGACAACTTAGAATTTTCCTACATTGATACTTCATATATTCCATGTTCCGATTATTAATGAAAATTTACAACTGTTTCTCCTCATTTTGAGTTTTACCCCATCAGCAAATGAAGATCCCAAAGGGTTGACTCCATTCACGTTATCACAGTCAGCTCTACTTTGAGGAGGCATCTCTTCCTCGGTCATTTTTTGAGTGCCTTCCAGCCTAAGGGACTCATCTTCCTGCACCATATCTGACAATAGTCTTGATACTATTCATAAAGCTTTCAGTGGTTAAACATTCAGAAGTAGTCCGTCTCTCCTTCTACCTAGTTTGTCTTACTATGGAAGCTCAGCTGAAACCTACTGATCATGGTGTACCCTGCTGATATTTAAAATCCCAGTGGCATAGCTTCCAGAATCACAGCAGCATGCAAGCCACTACAGTACAACAAAATGACAGATGAGTGGTGGTCTTCATGAAATACGTTCTCCAAATTAAGGATATTGTTGGGGAAAGGTGGCTGACTATCCCTCCAACATTGTTTGCTTGACCCTTGCTGGACTTTATATTCCCTATGCCTGGCAGTGTCAAACACATGGTGGATACATTTGGAGCTTCTGTCCAGCTAAGATAGAGGAAGTTTTAAGACTGACCTCTTCCCACACACTGCCTGCCCCACATCCTCAGGTTTGATTTTCCCTGATGACCAGATAATAATCTTATCCTGGAGAAGGGGATCTTAATGTCTGTTTACTTGCAGCCCCTGTTTCTTTAGAGGCAACATCAATCCATGTATTTGGCATACTTGCAAAGGTTCCCTGTGTTTCTCTTACTGCAGGGGTAGGTGGCATTCCCCCCAGGCCTTCTTTTGTGGGCACTGGAAGACAGGAAGTGAGTTAGGTTTGTGAAGGATTTGGATGTTGACACACTTTGCTTGGGAACTGGTGATGTGTAGAATGTGGCACGCTTCCAGTGTTGAAGGCATTTCCCTGGGTTCATCAGAAACTAGTCCTTTCTTATCTTGGATGGCACAAGTTGAGGGTGCAGCCCTGTCTGGTTTCCTGACTTTGAGCAAGTGTTTTCTTTGCTAAAGCTTTAATGACCTCGTTCTGAATACCACTCATTACTGACTTCATTTGATCTTCTGTTTTCTTGTTATTCCTTAAGACCTCAAGTACTTATTGTGTGTTGGGCTTCTCATGCACATCTCATTTATATTATTTCCTGCTTCTAAATATTTGGCAGCCATCAACGTCTGAAAACATGGCTGACCTGACTCTTAATCTTCTTCAGGCTACACAGCCCTCGTTCCTCCTACAATTCCTGCTTGTCACATTCTCCAGCAGCCGCCTTTGTCCTCAGCACCTCATGCCTGTGTGGTTTCTACTTTGCTCCTCTTAATGCCCAGACTGGACATGACATCAATTTGTGCTATAAGCAGTCCACACTAGGGCCATTATCAAGAAATGAACTTGAAACTCATTTCAGGCCACATACAATTGCCAGTGTTTATTTAGCAGTGTCATCCTAATACTACCCAGCTCCACCTCCACATCCTTATTATTTCACTTTAACGGCTCTGAGGCATAGAGATTTATTGTTTTACAGTTGCAAAGAACAGAACTGTACATTTCTCTCAATCTGTTTTACCCATTCTCTGCCTTGGGAACTTGAAGTATTTTTATATCAGAGTCCTGATGTGGTATTGTAGGATAAGCACTGGACTGCTAACCACAAGGTCAGAGGTTCAGTCCTACCATCTGATCCTTGGAAATCCTATATATGACTGTGAGTTGAAACGGACTCAAAGGCACTTGACACCATATGAATGGGGGGTCCCTGGGTGGTGTAAATGGCTAATGCTCTCTGGTGTGGCGCTAGAGGGTAAGCACTTGACCGCTAATGGCTAGGTCAGTGGTTCAAACCCACCAGCCTCTCCTTAGAAACCCTATACAGCGTCACTATGAGTCAGAACCAACTCAACAGCACTTTACAGTAACAGCAATAACTAACTGAAAGGTTGGAGGTTTGAAGCCACTACCCAGAGGTTCCTCAGAAAAAAAGTCTTGATAATCTACTTTCCAAAAATCAGTCATTGGAAATGCTGAGGAGCGCAATTGTACCCTGACGTTCTTGGGGTCAACTCCACGCTCTTGGCGTTGACTTTTTGGTAGTTGGTTCATTTCTGTGAATGGGAATCTAGCATGGTAAGTCTGATGCAAGAAATTGTTGAGAGAATGGAGAATTTTCTTTTTTAAAAGATACCTTAGGGATGGCTCTATTAATAGGAAAATCTTTCTCTGACCCCAGTTCATAGGTCCTTTCATTACTAACTGCTATTCCATGGGTGTGTTTGGGGTGTTTGGTTATTCTGTAGAGATGAAAAGAATGAATTGAATGTTAAGCTTCTGTAGGAGGCTGGGTGCTTCAGTGTAGCCACATTTCTTATCGCATGGGTCCCATGTGGGCCGTTGAACGCATCCCCCTGCTACTGCACTGCTCTGAGAAGGTGTTTTCACGTTTTAACCAAGCTCTTCTCATTGTGTTGCAGTTACCTGGCTGAACAGTGCTGGAATGGCGGTTTCATCTACCTGATCATGCTGCGTCGCTTTAAACACAAAGTCCATTCTCCTTATAATGGCAATAGTAGCAACAGCTCTGAACCGGGAGAGACACCTACCTTGGAACCGGAAGACAGAACTACGAAAAAGGGAAAAAGAACACGGAAGTTTGGGGTCATTTCCAGGCCTTCTACTACCAAGGCCACTGAAGAATCCAAGAGCAGTGCTGACTGTGAGTTAGACAATGACCCCACCCCAGAGCTGGACAATGGCCAAAACCCTGAACTTGGAAATGGGCATGTCTTTGAGCTAGAGAATGGCCCAGATACTCTCAAAGAGGTGCTTGGATCCCAGCTAGAGAGGTCAGAAGTGGACAGAGGGACAGAGCACAGAATTTCCAAAACTGATGCCCCTCTGCCCACAAATCATGACAAACGCCGCCTCTCAAAAGCTGGAAAGACAGACTTTCAATCAAGTGACTGCCTGGCACGGGTAAGGTTTACTTTGCTCATAGACCCTAACTCTTTTTATTTTTATTTTTAAGTTTTTATTGTGAATTAAGTGATAGTTTACATGAGAGAACATGGGTTTTACACTGATTGTTTCAGTGCAATGATTACAGTCCCCTCCATGCATCATCATTAAACAGTATTTGCTTCTATTCCTTCTGTTATTGTTGGTGTTGTTGTTTTGGTCTTTTGGGGGTTTTTTGGGGTGGAAAGGTGTACACCAAAACACTCAGGAATGTAAAATCATTTAAACAAGCAAAAGGCTCATTCTGTAAGCCTGCCTCCTGGCCACCAGCAAACAGTCTTAGAACTTGACTTTAAAAATAAATTTAATTTTGATGTTGATTTTAAGGTTTAGAAAATCTATCTAAGATGACCTTGCATTTAGAAACCACAGATATGTTAAGATAAATGTCCCGAGGTTATAACAGCAATGTTCAAGTCATTTTATCCTACTTAAATTAAGAGCCAGTCAAGTGACCAGAAGTGGAAAATCCTAGCCTTCTGTGGTTATAATGTGAGTCAGATGAGACCCAGATAAAGTATTTGTGGTGCACCATTATTCACCAGCTGCTGTCACCGGTGGAATTGTCACTGCTGGGCCAAGAATTACTGGTAGCAGTTGAGAAAAATATCCCGGCCTCAGCTTGATACAGGAAGGATGGCCTACATGCAGGGAAGCATCTGTTTTTATTTTTAACAATTCAAAGGCAGTGGCATTTCCATGGGATCATATGTATGGAATGGTTTGAAACGTTGGGAAAGCTCACAGAAACCTCTGGTACTATGGTAGCCGGCTGTGATGGCCAAGGTAGGTCTTGCCTAAAAGCAAAGCAAATGTGGTGTGTTCTGAATGGTAACAGGTGAACTTCTAGACTCAAGTTGTCGTCCCCAGATAACAACATTCTTTCACTAGACTTCTATTTCTTTGGGGTAAGCATGTTCATTCTAAGAATCTTCATGGCAAATATTCCTCGGGCTCCTAGGTGATTACTTCCTAGGTGATTACTGGTCTCTTCTTGGACTCAAGAAACACCCTGTAGGGAAAAAAGGGAAAGCTAGAAAGAGGGAGAGTAGAAAAGTCAGACAGGTATAGGAGATATCAAGTTCAGCTTTGCATGCTGGGAAATGTTGCCCTAAAATCCAACATAATGTCTATGAAGATTTATTGTTGTTGTGTGCCATCAAGGCAATTCTGACTCATAGAGACCCTACAGAAATGGAATTGTCCCATAGGGTCTCCTAGCCTGTAATCTTTATGGTGAATCTGCAGTTCACCAAATCCCACAGGCAGGCTGGTGGGTTTGAACCTCCAACCTTTAAGTTAGCAGTCAAAGGTTTAACCAGGATCACTATGAGTTGGGATTGACTCATGACACACAACAACTAATGCAGCTGATCTGTGGGTTAGATGGAAAAGACGCAAAATAAGCCCTCCGTCAAAAGAATCAGGTTGTTTCATTTGGAGCTGGATGATCTTCATAAAGCCTTATACTGAGGAGGCAATCATATTATGTAGAAGGAATGCATTAAAAAAAGAGAAGGAAAACTAGTATTCATGTCTCTATCAATGATTTCCTACCAATTTTATGGTTGGATTGTTGTTGTTAAATGCCATCATGTTGGTTCCGACTCATAGTGACCCTGTATAGGGTTTCCAAGGAGCAGTAGGTAAGTTTGAACCTTGAGGTTAGCAGTCTAGTGCTTATCTTACAACACCAAACCAAAGGCAATAAAAAGATTATAATGTGTATCTCAAAATCAAATTTAAGGGCAATAAAAGATTAGAAAGTATTTATCAGTAAATACAATAATAGCTTGCTGTGAATTTTATCTAATGATTAAATTGTGAATAAACAGGAAACCTAAAACGAATAAAGAATTCAGGAAGTATTGGTTCCCTTAATCACTGTGAAGGTTTAAGTTACCAGAAAACATCCAATCTTACACATAATCCAAGAAATAGACTTTCATTTGGCCTAAGGAGCCCTGGTAGAATATTGAGTTACAAATTGGAAGGCTAAGCACAAGGCCAGCAGTTCAAAACTACTAACTGCTCCATGGGAGAAAAATGAGGCTTTCTGCTTCTGTAGAGATTTGACAGCCTCAGAAACTAATACAGAATTGTCGTGAGTCGGAACCACTCCATAGCACACTGCCACCACCACCATCAATGATGCAGTGGAAATACCTTGGGATGATTTCAAAGAAGACAACTTTAGAGATTCTGTTGTTAAATACCATTGACTCAATTCCCACTCATAGTGACCTTGTTTAGGGTTTCCAAGGAGCGGCTG